TTGGGCATATTGGCGAGAAGGGGAAGGCTTTGGAGGCGCAAATGCCTTGGATAGTCCACCAACCCAAGACCAAACAGCATCTCTATTTTCAAGAGTCCACAGAAGCTTGAGACCATAAACAAATATCCGCTGACAATTATCAGCAATAACTACATTATATCCATCATCATCGCTGGGGTCAGATCTTGTATGGTCATCACTTTCACTTCCATTTTCAAACTCAGATCTGACATACGTCATTTCGAGATTCCTTCTACCAGCTTCTTGCCATGCCAATAACCTTTCAGGATCGGCTTTTGGGGCTTGCTTGCGGATTGTGAAGTAGTCAGATGATAACAAAAACCCGTCATCTTGATGCTTCTCTATACTGTTTCTCAAGGAGCTGTTTTTCCCACTCATAGCCCTTTCCACTGATGCAGACTGTGATTTCTTCCTGGTCATTTGAAGTATTCTTGCAACAGTAGCACAATCATCCTTATTAATGTATGCTTTAGGCATGTGAAGATCAAGACCTTGGTACACAAGGTCAAGAGGCTCCCGTTTGCAGTCAAAGGTATATTTTTGCTTACCCCGGCTATTATAAAGTTCATATTTGACCTTCGTCATTTTAAATGTCAGTCCCTTTGCTGGGTCATCGTCGTGTAAAGGCATGTGCCTGATACATGTCGGAGTTGCATCAATCCTCAACATAAACTCTGTCATCACTCTATCTAGTGACAGATTTCCAGATCTGGGAATCCTAGGAACCCCAAAGCGGGGCCACCTGGAGAACATTCGCAACTTATGAGGAGGGAGAAAATTTAAGTTCCAGAATTTGATTATCCATGCAAAATCATGATGACCAAGATTCACCATTGTTGAATCACTCGGTGCAGTCTCCAGTTTCAAAGGATCAAGAGAAACTCTATCGGGAACAACATGACTATTAATAGAAGAGGATTGTGACTGGTCATTATCAGACGAAAGTGAAGGCCTAAGGGAGAAATTCCATCGCAGGGAGAGAGAAGTAGATCTAAAAGGATCAAAAACTTTCTCACGAGGTACACCCTCACAGGGAAGTGCAAATAAATAATGATTAAGTGGATGCCCAGATTCACAATCCCAATCCATTGTTACTTCAACTGTGAAAATTGG